AGTTTCATCCCTACTACTGATTGGCGTGTAGGTATACAGGGTAAAGAAACACATATAAAATACATTGCGTCATCGCGTTGGTTATATTGTGTACCTAATACCTATATATTATAATATGATATACGGTGTTTTTTATTATGAACATAATAGATGTGTAAAAATATTCGTAAAAAATACGTTATAACGTAGAAAATATTTCAAAACAAATAGTCAAGTTGTTGTAACTGCTACTACACTTATACCTATATGAATGACCAATATGACTTGATATAATAAGGGGTGACGCGGTTTTATTGTCGTCATGTTATGAGTGGGAGTACATACATGTTTTTGGTGTCGGAAACATTGAGTTACGTGGGGCCAGTGTTGGACTAGCTTTATAGCTCAGTCCGGGCAAAATAATTTCGAACGGCCTCAATGGAACTTTATAAGTAGGTAGGTACCTGATCAAATTATTGTTTAACTGATAATGTATCTTCGTAACTCAAAAAACAATATTCACACAAGTACATTTGTATATTTTCAGATTTAATGTAATACCTTAAATAAATCTAGTTACGCATAATATATCTTATCTATAATATTGATATAATGACCTACCTATTAAGATAAATTTTACACAATAAAAAATGATTTTATTTAAATATGTTTATGTAGACTTATGGCCTCCAAAATGGTACCAACGATTTGAAAATACATTTATTTTATAAATAATTATGTACTTAAATTATTATAAAGTATAAGCTAAAAATTCTACATCTGTTTTAACTGATGTTTTTGACGGTTTGACTTTGAGCTTCGTGTCATCATATGTACACCTACAAATGTTTATACCAGGATTACAAATGTGTACAAATGAAATAACAATCATTGGTACCATTTTGGAAGCCATAAGTCAACTGTACAAAAAGTGGGGTGCTGATGTAACGTTACATTACGGACCTGTTATTCCTCGTTCTTTTAGCTTACATTATGCCTAATAGATTCAATAATCTGATTCATAATAAGTTTCTAAAAATCGGACAACCTTATTTAAATACGTCTTGTACTTGAACTTGTTCTTTATACGAAGACGCTTGTTTTTTTGTTGTTTATTTAACGCTAGGAAAGAGAAAACAAAATTAGTATATGTGTTATCGATTTATAAGTATATACACTGAAAGTATTCTTTAGTCACATGGATTATCCAGTTTCACTGATTTTGAAGTTTAAACTGGTATTCCTCGTGCGTGAGTATCGTTTGAGAGTTTGAGAGCATAATAGTAATAATAATAATAATAATAATAATAATAATAATAATTGTATTATTATTTATGCTCCCAAGAATAGAAGCTCTCATTATGTGCCCAATTGTCTTTTCAGTGATTTATCTTATGATAAGCAGATAATATAATTTAAGATAAGTTGGTGAAATTTGGTGTCCCACTCTCATTGTTTATAGTAAGTTTTTCATTCCTTAGCACCAGGATCATTTTAAATAAAATATATTAACTTTTAAAGAGTGCAACCCACAAAAAAGTATGCATATCATTTTATGTGTTTCCCAGAAACATATTAAACATATTATATAATAAGGATTAAAACTAAAAAGTGTTATATAAATTATAAACAATAAAAACAGTCTAAACTCAAAATTTGTAATTTCATTATATTAATAGTTTTTCAATAAAAAGAATTGCCTATATATTAGATATAATGACAAGTTAAAAATTGAAATGTAAATTATATTTATATTCCTCTCTTTTTTTTTTTTTTTTTTTTTTTGTATTATTTTCTACAAATAGTTAAACACAAATTAAGACAATTTTAATTTAATCAATTAAATGTATAGTACTAACTGATTAGTAATAACCAGGGCTTGGGACTTAAAATCATTAAATTGAGCGCTTAAAAAGTAATTAAAAACATCATTATAAGCACTAAAATAAACATTTAAAAAATTTAAAATTAATCAAAAATATTTATTCGAAAAAAAAAAAACTATAAAATTCTAGCTAAAAAATTAAAATCAAAAAAATCTGCACTTTCAAGACTTTAAGATTTTACAAAGGATTTTATAGATTTTCTAAAGGATTTTTCTTAAAAATAAAATGTAAACTGTTATTTTTGTTTTTTATTATTCTGACGTTTAACACTCAGTTCTATTTTCAGTGTTGGAATATCTTTGTTAACCCTACAACGATACCTCTTGGATGGCAACGAACTACGTAACAACGTAGATAAGAATTATTTTTATTTTTAATTCTATCAAAAACGACTTTGAAGGAGAAAACTATAAAAACTTAAAAAAAACTGGTCAAATAAACAATAATAATCAAAAAAACTGGAAATAAGCATTTTATTTAAAAATTGCTGAAATAAGCAAAAAAAGGCACTTTAAAAATTTCATAATTCTACGTGTTATAACTTGATATACACTTCTATACAGTGCCGGATTAAACATTCGTGGGCCCTTAGGCGATTACAAGTTTTGGCCCTACAAAATTATTTTTTATATACATCTTTATCATTACCATCCAACATTTAAAATAAACAGCTTTAATTATAACCACCGACTATTGTTAGTAAATAAAATCGTCTTTATTAAATTGTTTTAATCTTTTTCAAAATAATTTTATTATTATTTCTGCATATAAAGCCGCATCCAGACTAAGAAACATTTGTTGCCGACTTTGTCTCCAATGTCGGTATCAAAATGTTTCTTTAAATGTCACCGACAAAATTTATAAACAAGCGCGTCCACACCAAAGCAACATATTTGATAAACATTTTAATCTTGGACAAAATCTGGAACGAGAATGACGTGGCAATTGCCGCATGTACTTGTGTAATTTTTAGTTTAGAAGCAAAAAAGGCTTCTAAAAAGAGATATTGGGTTCGTCCTAGTCTCTTAGCAAAGCAAAAATATAGTGGTAATGATTTAATGACTGATCTTAAATGTGATGACATTGGTCTATCTGGAGAATTTAATATAATATAATATATTGGAGTAAAAATGATAATAAAATAAAATAATAATATGCACTACGTATAGTGGACGAGGCAAAACTGAACGAAAACCAAATAAATAAATAAAATATGATGCATTTACTAAATGTTTATCGACATAATTTGACCAGTCTAGACGTGTCAATTCATCGTCAGCGACAATGTTTATAAACTTTATCGAATTTTTTCCCCTCGGATGAAAAACAAAAACTTGTCGACAACAATGTTGCTGACACAATTGTCGGTGACAACATTTAGAAACAGTTTTAATTTTTGTCGATAACACATGTTTGCGACAAATGTTTCTTGGTCTGGACGCGGCTTAACACCTATAACTTAACATATATTATATTTTATAATGGCTTTTTTCCCGTCAATATAATACAGATATAACTGAATTAAAAAAAAATATAGTTTTTCGTTTTCACAGAGCCCCTTAAACGAGCGAGGCACTAAGGCGGGCGCCTACTCTGCCTCATGGGTAATCCGGCACTGTTTCTATAACACTCTGCTACATTTTAAGTCAATCCATAAAAATAAGCAAATACTTTAACTCTCGAGCCCTGGTACACGGAAAAAAAAAATTACTAAAATTTTATAGTCACGGAAAATGTAGTAAGAATCACTATTTTATCGGTGGAATGACTAAAACAGTATAGTTATTAAGACTATAAAAAAATAGTTGATTTCAATAGTGAATATTACTATATTTTATAGTTTTTTTTTTCATATGTTTAAATCAACTATATTTTATAGCCCAAATAATTGAATACTATAGCAATAGATCAAATTGCTATAAAATATTATAAGTCGAGCTGTCGAAATATAATTCGGCGAAAACTAAACATGCGCGAGTCGTAAACACAAAGGTAAAATAAGGCACGAGGCAACACGCGCGGCATGAAATAAAAATTCTTAAGAATTTTGTCTCTTGCAAAACATATTATCAGCTAATGGATGGTGGTCACCATTACCCTTATTTCAGTCATTTATTTATCATACTTTGCGACACTTCTACAAGGAAGTTTGACGCTCTATAGCTCTTTAAGTTTCAACGGATTCAAGTAAAAAAAGTAAGTTTTTTACACTATATACTGAATATGTAGTATATTATTAATGTATACAGTTATTTTCGAGTTTTGTTCAAATTATTTAAATAAATATCGACTTATAGTTATAAAGTTTATTAAATATAAATTAATTACCGAATTGTATAGGTCTATAATATCTTAGATACCTACCTACTTAAATCAGGAAACAATTTTTTAAAAGCAGTTAAATTTAAATTTTTAAATATTTATACTTAGTAGATGTAAAGTATACAATTTATGTCGTGTTTATCGTTGAAATTATACATGAAAAAATATTACTTTAAGGTTCTGAGTGGAGCGAAATATAAATATAGTTTTACTATATATGATGTTTATTTACTTAGATATTATTATTAATATTTTTTGTTAACACTTTTTCCTATAGAAATGCTTGCCTGAGAGTTTACATAAGTAACTTTTTGAATCAGAATATGCTCCTATATGGTACTTTTTGAAAGTAATTTTTGAAATTCTCAATAGTTTTTCCAAAATTTTCCAAAAAGGCCCTATAAAACTTTTTTTTATACAAACTTTATGTAAATTTAAATATAGATTAATAATAATATAAAAAAATATTTTTGTGAAAAGAAATTTTGAATATTTTAAATTTTCTCTAACACTTATTTCTCATCAAAAAATAAATTTTTTTGGTCTCGGATAATAGTAGAATATAAAGCTGATTGAACAAAAATTTAATTTTTTTTTTAATTAATGGCATTAAATTGTAATTTATGTAATAATTAATCTCTAAAAAACTACATTCAAAAATATTGATATACCGCCCAGAAATTATAAGGGTAGCACGGGACTTCTGAGCCATACTATATATAGATATTATTTATAAATTATAAGTTACTACCTATAAAAATAAATCGATTTAATATAATTTATTGAATAATTGTTATATTAGATACCTACTTAAATATGGATGAATTTATCAAAAACTGGTTAAATTATATTGGGTTTCAACATTTAGTGAATAAATTTGAAGGTAAAGTAAAAATATAATAAGAAAAGAACAGTTTAAAAAAATATATATAAATATAAAACCATTATACTCAGTATGTTGTCTTCGCAATTAATATAATATAAGGCCATTTTATGACTGAATGTTGCTGTAATGAGCGAACAAAAGCAAATTAAAATAAAAATAAAAAAAATGACTGAATACAGATTAAAAATATCCATTTATTTGATTGATTTAGACCTTCTAATGTTTTAATCACTTTTGATGATATTATAATTTGATATATTTAACTTAGAAATTTGTAGGCAACGTGCGTTTTTTTTTAATGAAACTTTATTTTTCCAAAATATTTAAATAGTGGAATAAATATTCATCAAATAAATGATGAATCGATTTTTTAAAAACAATTTTTGTCAAACAAATATTTTTCAAAACTCAAGATCAATTTTGATATAAATTAACTGAATATTAAAAAAAAATTGTATTAAAATTTATTAAACGTAGGGAGTTAAATTTCATCATCAATGACAAAACATTTTAGTAATTTTTTTCAAATAAAATTAGAAGGTATAACTTATGATAACATTAGATTAATACGCTTTAAAGAGTATATATTACTAGTATATCCCCCAAAGCATTTTTTTTAGATTTTATCTCTATTTATTTAGTTATTTTCTATTTTTAAAATTCAAATTTTAACTAAATAAATAAATATTTGTTACATTATTATTTTTATTTATTCAAAATCGATTTTATTTATCATACATTTATTTTTGGTGATAAATAAACCATTTTAGGAGAGATACCTATGTATTATTATATGTTTTTAGAGGGAGAAATTAATAAAACAGTTTTGATGATATTAACTGAGTTAATGTTGAAAGATTTAATTCCCAAAATTGTCCAAAGAGCAAAGTTTATTAATGAGTTGGAAAAACTAAAAATACTAAGTTCAGTAAGTGCAAATCTTAATGTATATTATATTTATTTTATTTGATCTCAATTATTAAATGTTTTTTTTTTTTTTTTTTTACTTGCAATACTCAAAACAATTTTTTTATTTTAAAAAATTAAAAATTATTGACATTTGAATCAATGATGAACATGACTGTTGTGACAGATGAAAAAGGTAATTTAAAAAAAAAAGATTAACATAAGTTTAGGTCAGTGTTGGTCTGGCTTGTGATTGAGCTCACTATTTAAATACATTATAATAAAGAACTACAACAAACATAATTAATTAAAATAAAATAAATTATTAAATTAAAATGAATTATACCTGCTTGAAAATATGTTCAGTATAACTAATATTAATATTTTAAAAATTTCTGAAATTTATCATTACAATTACAGCCTGTGTTATCTACATTACTATTTACTAATGTTATTAATTAATTAAATAGTTTATATTCTTTAAGAAACAATTTAATTAAAATAGTTAGTCAATTTTCTTAATTAATTCATAAGTTAATACATTATTAGTGATCTTTTAATTTAAACACTTTATTACTTCTTTTGCTAGTTACAATAAAAATTTGAAAATGTATTAATTTAAACAAAACTTAGGTATATTAATTGTTCAAATCTATCAGTTTTTTATTTGATTTTGAATATTACTTTAAATTTTAGAATTTGACTGAGTACAAAAAAGAGTATAAATTTAATGCAAATAACCAATACAAAATATATTATATTAGTATGTAGGTGAATAATTTCAATTTAATATTTATTTATGTCAAGAAAATGACCAATTTTTTGTGGTATTTCAATGTTTAAATTTGGTGTTAGGCTCCTTAATTATCAAAACAATTAGTACCTATAAAAATTCCTGGATAGCCAGGTGAGCCAGACTGACAATAAAATTATAGTAGGTACCTAATTAAAATATATTTTGTATATTATAACACAATTAAAATCAAATTATATTATATAGATGTATCATATTACAATGTAACTGCAAAGCCATTTCAAATAATGCAATTGATACTTTAAATATTATTCAACAAGATACTAATCAGTCAGGTACAACATAATTTATTAATAATCACTTATTTGATAAACACTTGGTTTTATAGAAATAAAATCGTACATAATTGTATATTAACTATATCATAATATATAGATAAGCCGCAACCTAAGAAATTTATTTCAGATATTTTTGAAAATTTTTCAACGACTAGAGCAGAGTCTGAAGTTTCTAATGTTGATAATCCACCAACCATCGATGTGAATTCGAGTAATAGTAAAAGTTATTTGCAAAATATTCAATAATTCTATATGATAACGAAAATAAATTAAATTATAGATCATTTTATTAAAAAAACATTGGAGCAATACCAGATGGTCTCCTTATACTACAACACTTCAAGTCATATGGGTCATTAAATTCAAAAATGAGAAACCGACTTTGTGGAATATTAATAAAAGATGAACTTTTTAAAACTAAAGGTGCAAATAAAATTGGGAAAACACAATTTTCGAAAATTGCAAATGGTAGATATTCGTAACATTACATATAGGTATTTTGACATTTAAAGAATGATGCATGTGGGTTAGATGCAGATGCATGTGTGTATATATTTCATTAACAATTAATCATTATAAACAAAATATATTAGGCACTGTAAAAACATTTAAAATTATTTTGTATCTAAGATGTTTTTTAATTTATTTTATTTTCAACTCCACAACTATAACTCTATATAGAAATTTATTTTTAATAATGTAGTAGGTAAATATTGTATAAGTTTTATACTAAGTATATGGTTTGTTAAAAACTATAATAAATAAAAAGGGGTTTTCATACTCAATAGGTATAGAAGAATTCTTTCCTTCAGAAAATAAATATGTTTATTTCATCCCTTATTATAAAGAAGGTAATAAAGTGAGTCCTAATTGAGGAAAATTGTATGACAAATATTGTAATTTAAAAAAGGAGATAAAGAAAATACATTTTCAAAGTAATAAAAAACATAATAAGGACAATGAAGTTTTTATCAATGAAGAAGGTATCTATTAATTATTTTTAATTTTTTATTTTTAATAAAATATGATTCTTATAATGTGAAATTGACATTAGAATTAGATATTTATTATAATATTAATTTGTAATTCTTATTTATTAATACTTATTGCATACCTATATTAAATAGATATTTTAGATTCAATAAATTGGCTAAAGCATAATATAGAACCAGAAATCATTTTACACCAGTTATGGGCTGAAACTGCTCGTTATAGAAATACAAAGCAAATCAACGAAAATGCTATTCGTAAATATCCAGCTTTAAAAAAGGCAACAAGTCACATACTTGTAAGTATAGTCACACAAACTACAAAATGTGTCCTTATGTCATAATAGATTTAAAAAATGTTTGAATTGCAGTATATTTAATTAATATTAAAATAAAAATAAATTAATTTATTGCTTTCAAATACATAATTCTTAATAATAAAATTAATTTTTTTTTTCAAATAAATAATTAGAAATATACACAATGATTTTTCTTAGATTGATATAGATTTTTCTCATTTATTACCATCAAAGGACCAATATCTTTTACAAAAATTTGATGTATTCAAAAATAAGTTGAAAACATATTTTAAAAGACAATTAAACTTAAATGTGTTTGAACAAAACATAATTAAAAAAATTATATCACCTGCTAAATTAGGCAAGTTGTTTACATAACTGTTAACATAACATTATTAATAAAAATAAAATTGGAGTTGGTAAACAGAAAGGTTAGTACTTATCTGTAATTTGTTTTAGGTGATGATGATTTAGTAACTATTCAAATACTTCTTTACCTATTCAAACAGTGAATATTAAAATTCCAAAGAAGACTGCCAATGAGGACAATCAAAAAACAGTTAAATATTGTATGTGGAAATCATCAAAATTAGAACAAGCTAGTGCTGTGATAGTCAATAACACAGTAAGTTTTAAATATTTTATTTTGTATTTATCTAATATTTTGTCTCAAAATTAAAATATTTCTTATAGGTACACAAGTATTTATAGTTTTAATAAAACAACAGAAAACATAAAATCCCAATACCTAATGCTTAACATTTAAAACATAAAATAACACTAAAATATAAATTAAGTAGATACATTTACACTATACACTCAAGCTATAACTAGTATAAGCCATCATTTCTTAGACTATTTACCTACATTGTTAAATTAATTATTATTTAGTTTGTAATCTAATAGCTGTTGTAAACATTTTATTAAATAATACCAATACCACAGAATAGAAACCTTATCTAAATGATATCTATGATGTGCTTTCTTGTGCCCTATCTACAATCTTTCTTTATTATGTAAATATTTTTAAATGTTGTCATCTATATTATATACCAAATTTGATAATTTATAATAATTATTTTTTAATATCTTAGTGTTATGATGGATAACTGTTTTTTATGTTCTTATGAGGCCGAATGCCTAAATTATTTATTTAGTCATTTTAATATTCCGTCAAATGGTGTTACTTGGGGCACTATAAAATTTTGATTGTAGGTAACTTAAAAACTATTTAAGTTAGGGAATTTCATGTAATTACAAAAAATCTGGGTCTTACTTTGTTTTATGAAAATATTATTGATTTGAGTTTTTTTCTTAAACTCCTGTATATTTATTTTTTATTTTTTATGCTTGTCCCAAGTTGTACCATAAAAGTTTAACTTGGGGCAAACATATAATTATCATACAAAAACCAAGTTTCCTTTACTAAGACTTATTTGGGGCAAAAAAATAATATTTTTAAAAGATTCCTTGAATTTTTTTAAATTAGAAAAACATTTTGTATTTATTTTTGAAAAAATGTACACTAATTAAAAATAAATTTAAAAAACAATTGAATTATAGATTTATATATTTCACATTAATTACATTTTTATAGTTGAAAACAAAACAATGTTTATACAAATTAAAAACCCTAGGTATGTAGGTAATACATTATGACTTATGTTATATCAGTCTACTATTAAATCAGAATACTTATTTTAAATTATAATTAATTAACATATTTTAACAATGAGAATAGCAATACATAATCAGTCTTGATTTTATAATATTTTCAGATGTAATTCCCATTAACAACATTTTAAACATTTTAAATTTCACATAAATTATGAGAAATGTCATGTGAGATTAATGGAAATCCCCATTTACTAGCTACAATAAGACCTTTGACTAAATCCTGTTCTTCGTTATAGTTCAAAACACAGGGTCTTTCAACTGATGATAAATTTTGATCATGGCGTTTGCGGTGAATTGTGGATTTAGAAATGCCAAACTCTTCAGATGCTTAACGTTTAGTCAGTTTATGAGATTTTACAAAAAGTACTGCTCTTTGAAGTGTTTCTTCATTATATGTTTTGTATGGTCTTGCTCCAATTTTCTTTTTTTGTCCAACCATTTCTTTAAAAGAAAAATTATAAATACATTATTTTATAAAAAAAAAAAAAATCAATAAGTAGATAACTTAATATAATCAAGCCAACAATATTATATTATACTTATATAATTCAAATTATACACTAGTAAAAACAAATAGGTAATGATGTATTTTAAACTAATTTTACTAGGTATGTACAATCTACTAAGTTTCATCCTTGTGTAACATGGACCACCTTGCCCCAACTTACACATACATCACTAAAACTTAAATAACTTAATAAATATTATACTTATAAATGTAATAAATATTAAAATACAACAATTACATGAATTGGAAACTTATTTTTATTTATCACATCACTCAAAAAACAATACTTTTTCTTGTTTATACAATACTATTAAGGTATGTCAAATGCTTAACAAATTACATTTACTTTATTATACATATTAAATATACTTACTAATAATTTCTGATCTTCAATTTAACCCGTCAGTAGGCGCGTGTATATTTGTAACACAGGCGCGTATGAGCGCGGCGATCACTTTCCCAGTTTTTACTAATTAACAGTGGCGTAGCCAAGGGGGGGCTAAGGGGGCTATAGCCTCCCCCATGGGCCGTGCCGTGTTTATATGTATAATGTATCTTGACTATTTAATAGAATCAATGCTCATTTTAATCAAAGGCATATTGATGTTATGCCACTTGAAGGACTTATTCCGGCTAATTTAAATATGTATGACGATAAAAATATTATAAAAGCTGCTAAAATATATGTCCAAGATCTCCATGATGATACCTCATCTACAATCAGAGCTGACCTGTTCATATGGAGGCAACAATGGAGTCAAAATACTATTCCAAAACCGAATTCTGCTCTTGATTCACTCTCTCATCGCACCAATCTTCGATCTAACATTAAAATACTTTTACAATTATTCGCCACGTTACCAGTTACCTCTTTCACTCCGGAAAGAACGTTTTCAGCACTTAATCGCTTAAAATTTTTTTTAAAAAGCACCATGTCGGAAAACAGACTGAATGGGTTAGCTATGGATAATATAAATAAAAAAGAGCAATTTGATGAAAGTGAAATAATAACTGAATTTGCCAGAAATTCACCTAAGAGAATGCAGCTGTCAGAGTGGAGCAAGTGACTGAACACTGAAACCAAAATTATTATTATTATTATAAATTACTAGCTGACCCGACAAACGTTGTTTTGTCATATAAATTATTTCTAGAGAATATTTTGCTAGAAAAAAATAACTAATTAAATATAGGCATGTAAGAATATGGGTAAGGATAAGGATGTAAGGAATAGATATGGAGTGCTATGAATGGTGACGAAATATAAAAATGAAAAAACATCAAACATTTATTTTTTTAATAATTTATTAAAATTGATCCATTAAAATTATATATATCGCTAATTATGACAATATTAGTAAAAAACAATATATATCCCTTAATGCAACAGAGTGTACAATATTTTTTGTTATTCCATCTTTCGCCAACACAAACTGGATGGCTCGAGAGCACACCACGTATAATTATCCGTATGAAAAATATGATGTGCTAAAATCTAAGCTACAGATATTATTTGGCTTTGAAACTTATTGATAGTCATTGCAAATGCCAATCTAATTGGAAATTTAAGGCGTTTAAATTGTATTGGCACATCTGTGGGTACAATAGAGATTCGCGGTAATAATATATTTTCACCTCGGAATTTGCCATTTAAAATTATGGCTTCGATAACATTTTTCATTAATTTTTTAACAACTTATCGCGTGTCGTTGTACAACTGTGGTAGGTCAAATTATGAAGCAAAATAACCGGAGAACAAACCTTCAATTGTAAATTATGCGGTGGCATATCTGGTAAGTCCAATGAGTTTAAAAACTGTTAGATAATTTACAGCTTCAGTAGCATAGCAAACTATATCTATAGATTTGTATTACACCATGTCTCCTGGTAATAAATGTTTATCTTGAGATTCAATTCGTTGACGTCCACATTTTTTACTACTAAAATTCCTCTTTCTGCCAGCCACTCATGATTTGTGTATTGTCTGTGTACATTGGAAAATATCTAGTCAATGAGAGCATCTTGCGAATAAATGATTGTGCAGAAATCGGTCGGTAATTTTATACATTCCGTTTCATCTGTAGTAACTTTCCCATCTCCAATATCTAACAATTGTTTTGAGAATCTTCTATACGCAGCTTTTTTTGATTAAATCGCAAGTATCAAAATCGTTCGCTCTATATCTTTACATACATTTCGACCATGAATTGTTGACGAAGCTCATGATATCGTAGAATAATTTTGTCCTGATCGCGTCTAATCATCAACCGATATGCATAATAATTTTTGAACTAACATTCTTATTTATTTTGGCACCTGTTGCGGGATCTTTTTGTTTAATATTTATGCAATATCCGTCATTTACTACCAAAAATAAAATTAATAGTTTTTAAATAGTTTTTT